CCCACTCGCGCTCATAAAACATGGAAAATGATATACGTCTGTGTCCTATATGTTCGGCCAAGTGGCATATGGGATGCAGACGCACTACATTATTCTGTGTTCCACTCGCGCTCATAGGATAACTAATATTGTCATATCGTGTGCCTGGATACTGTTATTTCATTGGTCTAGAACAGGGTCTGGACAATAAAAAGGCACATCACACATACGGTATGATATCCACATTTACGTGGAAATTATCAATATCGCACTGCGTTTATTGCGCACGTCTCGTGTGGAACCTGCCGGCGCGCTAGCTTCGCGCAATGAGAACTGCAAACGTCAACCGCTCAGTCTCACGTCCAGCAGGACATCAAAGCCTTTAGTTATCAAAGGTTACATCGCAGTGATTTAATTTATTTCGCCTCGGGTGCTATGCGCCCCTCAGGTGTTAAAAACGTCATATCCCACATCACAGCAGTCAACAATTGTCAAATATCCCAATAAATAAACTGAGGGCTGAATGACTTTTAAAAATAAAACCAAGTTAAAAACTTGTGTCCATCTGCACCAACTGTGTGGGCAAAAGATTGACTCATACTTCCCATCTGCGTGTCCAAAATGGGATTCCCATCTGAATCCACAAGGTGACCAGTGGGTGGGCTGGGGTGAGCTTCAAGGACTTCCGTTTGAAAAAAAATCTAATAATAATAATAATAATACAGCCCACTTAAAACTGGTTCAAATCATAACGTATCTGGAGATGTCCTTGGAGATATTTAACCATGTGGCTATGGTTTGAACAACACCCTATGAAAAAAAAAAAAAATTTTATGGAAAACAAATTTGAGTTTCAAGGTTTTCTCAAGACAAATTACCTGAATGACCTCATTACAAAGTAGGATTTAACTGTAATTTATTTTCAATGGGTTTTGAGTGATATTCGTGGGAATATTAAACACAGTGGAAAAATTGTGAGAAATGGGGATACAGACAAGAAAAAAAAACTAAAATGGGGAGTCAGGTTGGCGCAGTGGTTCTTTCCTCGCCTTCCACCTCTATGGCCTGGGTTCGATTCCTGCCCTAGTCCACTTGGGGATTGGGTTTTTCGTCTCTACTGACTGCGTGCGTTTCCCCTAGAATATTCTCCTGGGGTTTTCCTCTCACCCCTAAAACTGTAATTTGTTCTCATTGTCTTCTCTCTACAGGTTTCTTCAGGCTTGTGAGCTACAGTGTCTGGGGCACTTTTGAAGAATCCTTGAGTTCATTACCAGAAATAATTTATAGTATCTGTTTCAAGTGTGGCTTCTTAAACCTGGGAAAATGAGACTGCAGAAAGAAGGCTAACAATCGGGTGCAGGATTGTTGTATGCAATCCCACATCCGCATAGCCCTGCCCGTGAACTTTTTATTTAAACTTTTGTCATCACTATTTTTCCTACGTGAAAGCAAAAGTTCCAGTCAATTTTTCTCCTCTTTTCATCCCCAATATGAACCATGTCTGTTAATCTACTCGTGAACGGTGGACAAAAGTGGTTGTGTCCTGAAGGGAAAGCAAAAAAAACTTGGAGTTTGAACTTTGCGCAAAGTGCACTCCATAAAAGACTGGGTGATATGATTCTCACAGAGGTCGAGTCAGGGTCGCGCATTGGCACTCTCCATTTCAGACAAGAAACGGAATATGACTCCAGAAAATCTATTACAAACACTGAGTGGGAGGAGGTATCAACAGGACAGACTGATTACATTTCAAGCTCACGCCATTTTTATTTCAATTCCAACTTTTATGCTAAACAAAAAACCCTCAGTATCAAGTTTGGGATAAACAAGTAGCATTTGGAGGTTATGTTACAGTGGGATTTAAGGAACAAAGAAGGAACACAGTTGATTTCTTTCACTCGCCTTTATAAACAATAAATCATGTTCGATTCGGCATTGGCAGCTGAAGCCATTTTGAATTGAATTGAGTTGAACTGCTTTGCATGCACAATGTATGTAGTCTGGGTTTCCGTCCCAATTTTTGTGTGAAAGAGATTAGTGGTCGACAGTAACATTGGCAGTTGGGTTCGGAGTGAATTAAAAATAAGTTACACGTGCAATCCTCCCTATCTCCATCCATACAATCCTCATTATATCCATGCCAACCAGGCTATTAAAGTATTTACATGTAAAGTGTCCTTCCTTTTTTTTTTTTGGTAGGCCATACACCACAAATTTCTGGACAGAAGCCACATAGGATGTGACCTGACAATGACAAGTCAAAAAGTTGATGTAATGGTTGTGTGACCTTGACTTCTTTTTTTTTCCTTTTTTTTTGTGGAAAGTTAACCACAAAGTGCGTTTCACAGTGACAATATTTTAAAGGGAATATACAACATTTGCAAACATCGAAAAACAAAACTACCAAGTTTTTGCGAAATACCTTAATAGGATGTTGGTAAATGACAGTCTAAAGCATCCTGTAAAATTATGGCACCTGGTATACTGTCATTTTCAAGAAAAGTGGTATTTTTGTATCAATTTCCAACGCTGATCGGCCGATCAGCGTTGGAAACAACTGGCTTTTTTTCAAATACCGGCCCCAATTGACCATTGCACTTGTTTGCAATCGATTACAAACCTATGAACGGGTACGAGCCAGCTAGACTGGTTCCCTGACCTTACAATTCCCCAATGTATGTAAACTGCTCTGTTTCTTCTTATATGGAGTCAGGGAACCAGACTACAGGAAAATGATCGTTTTTCTTGGTTTTTATAGCATTTTTGAACCCAAAACCTTCAAAAAGTCAGTGCATCTATATTTGCTTTATATTTCCAACCCCCCAATTCCATCCATTTCTGAAAATTACAGCAAAAGCAAATGATGTATATTCCCTTTAAGTAAACTGCTTGCATTGCACTACTGGACCAAACTTGGCAAACCCTGCCTTGCGGACACCATGTTTTGGATTAGGACAGAGCGTTACTTGCATTCAAATGTGTTGTTTTATGATAACAATTCTGGATTAAAAAGAAAAATATTGGTCAGCTTGTTTCCTCACCAGGTTAAAATCCTGCTATGAAGACAACACAAAGAAAACATGCCAAACTTTAACTACAATTTTCGGACCCTTTTATTATTAATTTTTTAGCATTTTTTGGTAAGCTGTTTCCTCACCAGACTAAACACTGGTGTGGAGACGTCTCACAGAAAACGTGTCAGCTACACGTACATGTTCATGCACGACTTGTACCGCGGTAGCTGTTTTGTTTAGCAATGTACGTACATGTAGGGTACTTGCAAATATATACCAGTGGACACAACAACCAATGTGTACATGTACGTCACATTTTCACACCGCATTAGCTTTTTTTTTGGGGGGGGGGATGATTACAAGAATTCTGGCTTGAACAAAAATGCATAAGATTAATACAAGTCTGAGAAATCTCCACAACAAATTTACCCGTGTATACATACATGTACACGATGTACTTGCAAATGTTTACCAGTGGACGCAACATCGAATGTGTTCATGTACATCACATTTTTAACATGACATTAACTTGGGGGGGGGGGGGGGGGACGATTACTACGTTCAAACACTTCTGGCTAGAAAAAAAAAAATGGTTAAGTTCAATACAAGTTTGAGAAAAATCTCCAGAGCAAATGTGCCCAGCTTCTTCCAATTTTCTTGGCCGGTCTGGCCCAAAAATAGCATCTGGATGTTTAACCATTAAAAGAGCCAGGTGATGTGCCGCGAGGGAGAACAGATTTGGAATGAGGCGGGGATGTGACGCGGACTACAGAATGTCAACGATGAGGACGCACGCAAGGGTAGAGATTGCATATCGATTGCATATTGATCGAAGGTCGAGTTGAGAAAATGGGATGCACTGGGAAGATAGGGAAAGAAAGTAGAGATTGCGTATCGATTGTAGAAAGCAGAGGAGATTTGGTGAAACGGGTGCCGATACCTGCGACAGAATGTCAATGAAGGGGATGCGTGTGGAGGTAGAGACTGCATATCAATTGCATATCGATACCATATTGATTGAAGAAGGTGGAGTGACAGAACTGGATGCATGGTTTATAATGGCAGAGGAACAAAGAAGCTGGGAATGAAAATACTAGAGATTGCATATCGATTGTAGAAAGCAGAGGACACTGGTTGAGATGGGCACAGATAGTGGTTACAGAATGTCGATGATGAGTGTGATGGTAGAGATTGGATATCGATCGAAGAAAGAAATGAGACAAGATGGGTCAGGATGCGGACCACAGAATGTCGGTGATGAAGACGGATACAACAGTAGAGATTACAATCATATTATTGATATATCAAACTGATCACAATATGTATGAAATTTTGTGTTGTGCAAAATTTTCCACAATCACACAAACAACAAAATATGTGTTGACATTTGGTTGGCCTAAACATTTGATTTTTAACATACACCCACAGCCTTTTGGCAATTTCAATAATTGATACGATTATCTTTTTAGCTGCCGGTAGTCACTCTGTATCAATTCTACAACCACAAAGAGTTCTTGAAAAGTCATATCAATGATCGATATACGATCTTGCAGATGCTGGGCAAACCGGAGACACCACACTAATGATCAAGAAACATGTCTGCATGTACAAGTAACAGTGTTTACGTCACAGTCGGCCATGCCCTGATAGCTGGAAGTGCCAAAACGCCGAATGGACCTCTTCATTATCAAAGACAAATCCATCATCGTCAGCAGCGGCTGGGGCTTAAACAGGTCAAGTATCTCAGATGGGAGATAATCAGCTGGCAAGCCGACTACGGCTGTGACTTGTTAACAGCCATACATTTGTACCTGTAATTTTTACAAAGCTGAACAAAGATATTGACTGAATTTGAACCTGTGACCTCCGGATTGCCGTTCCGTTGCTCTCCCAACTGAGCTATCAAGTCCTATGTTGGCAGTTCCCCAATTTGTCAGTGTCTCTCTGACTAGCGCGGTAGCGCGCCCCTTGAACAAAGACTGACAAAATGGGGAACTGCCGACATAGGGCTGGGTAGCTCAGTTGGTAGAGCACCGGAATTGCAATCCAGAGGTCACAGGTTCGAACCTTGCTCCAGTCAATTTCTTTGTTCGACTTTTAAAAATTCATACAGTTACAGTAAACTGTCTGGAAAAAGTAAAATTTTTAACATTTTTACATTTTGTTGTGAAATTTGTCGTGCCATTTATATTGTTTTTTTGACTGGTAATTTTGCAAACCATGGGCCTGTTTCTTTCATTCCAGATCCCGATCGAGATCATGTGATCCAGCACTGTGCGAAAACAAACAGTACCACTCTTGCGCGTCAAGTCCTTTAGGGCGTACATGAATGTCGTCTGCTTCAGATTTTGTATGCAGAAGTGCTATTTTTCTGATAAGCTTTCAAAAATTTCCAGAAAAAGTTCAATCAATCGTACTATTTAAAATCACAAAAATACAATCTATCTAAAAGAGTTATGAAGAAGTAGTGTCACAAAAGCTCATTTGATGCTCCAAATGTACTTAAAAACTGCATTTTTTTTCTCTCCATCTGTCCGGCACGTCGCAAACCAACCTTGTGAACCGACCTCTTTAGCAGGATCTGTTAAAAAGTGATAAAACAGCTTTCGACGCGTCGGATCACCAATCACGATCCGGATCTGCAGGAAACAAACGGGCCCCGTATCATTCACTAAGCAGTGTTTTGTGCTTAATAGCACCAGGTTCTTGGCCTCTGGACTGGTCACCGTACAGGGCTTCCATTTTAAGGGAGACAGGATCTAGAGCTGAACGCGATGACAGCCAGGCCTGACCTTCCACTACTCTCAATACAGACTCCGGTACAGTTCACCAAGTTCAGCAGCTGGTAAAAGCTTTAGGATTTTCACACTCAATATTATTTCCCTTCTCCGCAGTCAAATAATCTAACTAGTGACCCATATTTACCAAAATGACAGGCTGCATCTGAAATGTGGATTTGTGCATGGCTGTGGCGATTCACTGTTGCCTGTCAATGGTGAAAGTCATAGCCCTGACCACAATATGTGCAAAATTCAGACTTGGCTGTGCCAATATCAAAACAAGCACAACCATTAGCAAAAACAAAGTTGCGTAGAATCAATATACTTTACATTGTAGTTTGGTTTGACAAAATTCCTCTACACCTGTGACTGTGGTATCCATGCATGTACATGTACACATGTACATGTATATGTTGGTACCTGGTACAGTAGGCCTACGTGCACATGAACTTGTCTAAAAAATGTACCGAAAAAATAAACAAGACTTTGAAATTCTGAGAAGTTGCAAGGAGAGGCTCCAGCAAATTTATGCTGCCATGTTTACATTTTTAGAATGCCTGTGTTGTGTTGACTGTTGCTAATGGTGCAAATGAGGGGAAAAAAACCTTAAAGTAAATACATGTGAATTTAAGTTCTTGAGGTTTATGTACATGTGCTAAAACATCCGTACAGGTTTTACCAGTCAAGTTTTGAACTACGATGTAACCAATTTCAACACATACAACCCATTAAAAGGAACTTCTAAGATTTCAAAGACATGAGCCCAAATCTACCACGTAAACAATTATGGAAAATATAAAGCCCCTAAAGAAAGAATATCAGCACTGTAAATCTGTAAACTCTAATTAGTGAAAACATTTTTGGGGGGAGGGGCTTATTTTCTTTTGAAAAGTTTGCAATTAAGAACAACCAGATGCTTTTAGAAAAAATGTAATTTTACTATTATGAAGAAAAACTAAATGTCATGGTGTATAAGCGCCCCTTGAACAAAGGCATTGACAAAATGGAGAACCGTCAACATAGGGCTGGATAGCTCAGTTGGTAGAGCACCGAAACGGTAATCCGGAGGTCGCAGGTTCAAACCCTGCTCCAGTCAATCTCTTTGTTCAACTTAAACAAAATATATACATGTATCACTGTCGGGGGGAAAAAAGTTAGGGGACCTCACTTTTTATTTTTGGCCATCTCTCCCCAACCTTTATTCAAACCTAAAAAAGTATGTTTTGTGCCTTTAAAAAGAAACTGCCACACCGATCCGGAACAACCCAAAGAGGAAGTAACCTACCACTCCCAATTTGACTCACAATTAAAGATATCCGGAATGTCACATCCAATAACAAAGCCCGACTAAGTATGCCCAATATACAATACGAAACAGCTGCACATTGACTCCATGATAACACACACCTAGATCCCCCTAGCTACGGTACCAACACACGTACCTACGCACAAAGCACATAATTTCCTTCTCGTGTGACCCCGGTGAACTTGCGGGGGCTATTTTGGGGCGTCGTGTCTTCAGAACATACACCCTGCTCTTTTTAATGTCGTGATGGATGACGTGCATTAGAATGTCGTTGGCCGATCCATCTTCCAAGCCTGGACTAGTATGTATCACAGACATTCAATAAATGTGGCATTTTAATGGACTTATCAGACAGCAGAGATACATGTACAATTTCTTTTGAGGGGGGGGGGGGGGGGGAGGGGGGGAAAGGGACTACCAGTGTCTAAAATATACAGGATCATTTGTATTTATCCAAAAACATACCAAAGTATTATCAGAAAATGCTTACTTAGATTAAAGATCGTACTGGTACTAAACACTCCGTGAAATTATTCCGTCTGACTTGCTGTCATTGAGAAGAAATCAAGAAATGTAGGTGATTTCCAACAATCAGTCAATTGACTGATTTTTGAAAATAAAGAGTGCTTATGGAGAAAATTGTGTTTCCTGATCAAAAGGTTGTGCATGGTTTTTCCATGTTTTCTCAAAAAGTGTAATATCCACTGAGCTGAAAGCTCAACAGGTTAGGTTTTGAACATTCTTCTCTGGAGTTTGAGTGGTGTTATTATTGGAAAACAAACAAAATGCATGAAAAATACCCGATTCTTAATGCCTTTAATTGCTTCAAAACTTGTACAAGCAATTTATTAGGCAGGTTGAACAAAAAATGGAAATTCTGAGCTGCTCAAGAAGTTCTACTGTTTTTCTCAGTTTTTAATGACATAAATTTTAAATTGCCGGGAAAAACAAGGACAATACCGGTAGCTGATTGAAAATAATAATAAAATACAAAAACATGAATCCTGGACATTTCAAACTAACAGATGGGCAAATTACGAGATGTAGAAAATCAATTCTAACATGATTAAAATGTTTCAACTCCTTACAAAAAACAACTTTCCATCCTATCACTCACTTGAGACTGGACAGATCCGTGTTCCTACAAACTCAAACTTTGTTACCGGATCTTTTAAACAAAGTACGCCTCGGTTGGTGCTTGTAAACACAAAGCCGTAACAGTAAACTCTAAAACAAAACAATTATCTACAAGTTGTACATACCCCACTGCCAATGTTTCTGCTTTGTAGGCATTGTTAAGCACAGTCTGCTAACATGTATCGCCTGTCAGCCCATCGCAAGTCACTTAAGAAAACATCCGCAGAAGAATCAAACACGCGTATTCCAGCCGGGCTGAGCTGCCAGATAAGTTATCCCGGATTTCCAGCCAGAGATCTTGCAAAAGTCTTACAGATGGCCAAGCTAAACTCTCTAGTCCCGTTTTTTTTTTCCCTTTCTAGAATGACAGGAATGCGTGGCACATGCCTGGCACGATGAGGCAACACTCTTCTGACCCCAGATTTTTTTATTTTATTTATAACTTCCAGCTCGGCCGGCCGGCCCAGAAACTGTTCCAAGTCTTGCGTCCCCCGGAATTAATATTCGTCGGTTAAATGAAGTGGATGATCGATGATCAGCAATGTGGAAGAATGTCTAATAGGCCAATGTAGGAGTTACGCTCAGAGAGGGCTGGCCTGGCCACAGGATAGCGATATGATAAACACACATGGTGTAGTGCGGATGACACACTGGCTGCATACCACCACATGAGGGTGCTATTTATAATTCAAGTGGTCTCCATGAAGCTATTTCATGGAATAAAGCCTTACCAAAAGTGGACAACAGGTGGCGCTATTGTACTCTCACAGACTTAGATCTTCCAACCAGTTGGTTGATACTACATGTACAGTTAAACTTAAATAGTTAACACTTCCATGTCATTTTAAAGGCATGACATCCGTCACGAAGAAGACAAAAGCAAACCAAGATACTTGTTCCAGAAAGTTGTTGAATAGTAAAAGATAAATTCAAATGTCACAAGGTATTCTTGGTTTAAAAGTGAAAGCGAATGGTTTGACTTACTTGTTGAGATGGGTCTTGTAAGGAGCTCGACGTGTGACGATGGGAAGTAACCGATGGATTCTACGTTGCCTTTAGCGATGGAACCTTTCCACTTGCCGTCTGGGTTCCGCTCGAGAATCTGTGGGTTGTTCACAGGAATGAGCCAAGTTGTAGTCAAAGTATCATAAGTCACCAGAAGTCATCACAAGTCATAAGTCATCATAAGACTCATCAGAAGTCATATCAAGTCAACACAAGTCTTCAGAAGTCATCACAAGTCATCACAAGTCATCACAAGTCATCACAAGTCATCACAAGTCACCACAAATCATCACAAGTCACCACAAGACATCACAAGTCATAACAAGTCGTCATAAGTCAATCTAGTGTTGTACCGGTATTCAAGTCCACCACAAGTGAATCACAAGGGTGGTCACAAGAAAATCACAAGATAGTGAACAAGTCTGACTACAAGAGACAAGGGATGAACACAATAACAAAGGAATGCCTCCGTCACATTTCATTTGAGAAGCTTGTGACATGGGACTGGATGACTTGTGAATGACTTGGGATGTCCTTGTGAGGACTTGTGATGGGGGGGGAGGAGTGTGGCCTAGTGGTTAGGGTTCGTGACTCATGATCAGAGGGTCAGGGGTTCGAATCCAGCTGCTGGCTATATGCTGTGTCCTTGGGCAAGCCACTTTACCCCAACTTGCCTCTCTCAACCCAGGAGTATAAATGAGTACCAGCGTTAGCTGGGGAGTAACTTGCAACTGACTGGCATCCCATCCAGGGGAAAAGAAATATTCTCAGTCATTTCATGCCATGGAAACCAGAGATATAAACACTGGCCTGATGGGCCATATTGGTTTGTGACTGATTTTACTTTACCTGATTACGTGGGTTTTCTCTGTAATAGCTTTCAGGGGTTTCACCCCATTTCAAAAACAAAATGTTTCCTTTTTTTCCCAGGCGTCCAAGCTACACTACTTGGGCACCTTCAAAGAGTCTTTGGTTTCATTACCAGAGAGAGTTAAAATAAATGAATGAATAAGTAAAAAATTAATACTAAGACTAGCAACAAACTCACCGATATGATGTCCCCTGCTTTGAACGAGAGTGCCGATCGGTCGTGAATACGGATATAATCCTGTAGCGCCCTTGCATGGGAACCACCGATGGATTCTGCAAAAAAAAAAAAAAAGACGAGAAACGAATGAAAACAAAAACAAACACACATCATCAACCACATGGAAAATTTCAATCATGGACATTTTGCCACGCAAGATGCAGTAAATTTGTCTTTTGAGAATGGCATGTGTACTGTTCATTGTACATTCTGCCTTCTCCTCGACCCCTCCCATAAAAAAAAAATATTTCTATCGTCGTTCTTTCAGCAGAAAAATAAAATTACTGTGATTTTCAGATGGCATAGGACATGACCAGTACATCCCCCAGGATTTCCACAGAAAAATAAAATTACCGTGATTTTCAGATGGCATAGGACATGACAAGTGCATCCCACAGGATTTCGAGAAACTGCCTCGCCTGAAAAACATTCAACTTCAATCTCTCAAATCGAACATTGCAATGGCAAACCAAAGCATGACAGACTTAAGTGGCCTCTGAAAAGTGCTCAGTGCATGTCAATAAGTAACACACATGTACTTTTGGTAAACATTTAGGCTCTGATGCTCTGACAACTGAACTTCCCAGCCAAGTGATTTCCGAGGGCTTTTTGAGTGGAACGTTTCTTAGAATGGAATAAGGGGGATTTTTTAATTGGGTCTTGGTGTTGGGTTACGTTCGAGAATCAAGTCTGTCTCCTGACAAATTATCTTTGTCACTCGGAGATGTCTGCTTATGGGTCTGAAAAAAGGGGGGGGGGTTGGTTAAGGAGGGATGACATGTGATTAACATTGGGCTTGACCACAGTAGTTGCAGACTAAACAATGCTGGGTGTCAGAGGGGCAGGGGAGAATGGAATTCCCTTTGAATGGATTCCACCTGTTGGATTGTTCTTAAGTGATTTCACAGGTGACAAAAACACCTGTCGTGAGTTGAGTGATGGGTAGGGCTTCTCAAAATTGAGGGGGAAAAATGTCAAGTGGCTCCAATGTAAATCATCACAATTAACACAAAATGGACACCAATTACTGGCTATATTTCATAAATTATTTACTACTTGTCTCTGTGAGTTACAATTTCAAGGGTGGTTAATTCTGGCTGAACAAAATTCTGTCCTGGCTGAGGGAGTGTTTTGATAAAATCATATTTAATCAATAAAATGTTACCAGTCTTACAGTTGCTACTTCGGACTGACGTTTGGTGTTGAGTCAGGATTTATCATTCCAAGGGCATCGCACATGTTACATTTTAGCAACTTTTGAAGATAAACTACAAACAACATGTAGTTGAAGTTACCCCCCCCCCAAAAAAAAAAACACCCAAAATTCGTTTTGTATTAAACAAATTTCTCTGATTCTGAAATATAATAAACCTAAAGTAACAAAAATTGTTTCAGATATGCCAAACAATTTGAGATGTTAATCAGATTATTTCTTAAAAATTGTTCATTCAAAAATAATTCAATCCATCTGAAAGCAGAATTTGTTGATGTTTATGAAATTTAAAATTCATGAAAAGCCAAAAGATAAGGCCAAGTAAAAAATACACCAGTTTCATGTCCCCGACAACTCCTTTTTAAAAATATTGTCTTTTAATGTGGTTCAAGTCTTTGTATGTGTTTCCAGGTTTTTTTTCCGACTCTTTGAGAGTCGAGAAAGTGGAGGAATCCATCTTAGAAAGTCCACTATCTTGAAAAAAAAGGGGGGGTGCCTCCCCCTTTTCCGAAAAGCCTGGACAGGAAACAGTTGTTTTTATTTGGCCTAAAAGCTCAGTTTTCAAAAGTTTTGAAGTATGGAAGACCTACATTTGGAACCATCTTTCAGCCCCAATTCCCCCTCCCTTCCCCTCCCCCCTTCCCACCCCTTCCCCCACCCCAACTCATCCACATGCATGCTGCATCTTGCTCTAACGAGCCACCAGACAGATGCAAAACTCACCTCGTAGCAGCTGCTTGATATCCTGAGCGGCTCGGGTGGGAGTGAATTTATTTACAATGTCAAGTGCTGTCTGGCCGTGAGAGTTCTTCTTGTAGACGTCGATGCCACTCTATGGGCAGAAAAGAGAGAGGTGATGAACATGGCTTGAATGATAAAACACATTTACTGGTTAATCCTAGGATCACCTGAAACCATGAGAAGAATGAACTGCCAAATCATTATTGAAAAACATTACTTGGTTTAAGGTTGTGTTCCCTGTGTTATTTTCACATTTCATCTCCCCCCCCCCCCCAAAAAAAATTCATTTTCTGAATTGCTCTTTTTCTACCAACACAAAAATTATTCACTTTTAATTGGAAATCGAACAAATAAAATCAGCCAATGTTGAATTATTGGCTGCCAGACAACAATTTCGTTCTTTGCACGGTAGCAGGCGCGGATCCAGGTGTGGGGAAGGGGAGGGGGTGTTAAATTTTTTTTTAAAAAACCTGCTCTGAAAATTTTAAAAAAAATTCAGACATTTATTATAATAACAATTACCTATTTGTCCACTGTCCACAACACTCGAACACAGAGTAGTAACCAGTGGTGGTAAGGGGGTCATTATTTGTACACTATTGTGCATAAGTGTGCATGATTGTTGGATTTGAACAGCGCCCCCATTGGCAGAATGGTACCAGGAAAAAAATAATAAACATGTCTACATTTCAGCACTGATTTGCTGATTACAAAATATCTGACGGGCCTGACCCCCCCTGCAAACATTCCATGATCCGCCCCTGGGCATGCTGGCTCCCGCCCCACAATCAGTATCGGTAATGTACATGTGTGGACCGGGAGCCAGCCTGCTCGCAAAGCTGATCCGTTTGTGCCCAAAACAAAATCCTTTTTTTCTTTGAGAGGGTTGCAGACGTCCAAATTACTCAATCCACCAAGTGTGTCTGAGTTTGTTTCTGCATTCAATAGGGACGTTGAACAATAGAGGACAATAGGGTCCCCAATCCCTGAAGGTCCCCAATTCGGCGATGTGTACAAAACATATGCGAGGTCTTTTAGAGTACAAACGAAAGAGGGACAACAGGGGGTCCCCGATTGCAGGCAAATCCACACTTGGGTGCGTTTTTTTATGGTGTAAATCGAGGACACACACGTGCAACATCATCGGTGAATCCAGAACAGGAACCAAATCGAGGACGACCTCGATTAGAAGACATGTACAAAACCAATGAGTTGCAAAAAAGTTAGAGTACAAACAAAGGAAAAGGGAAGAGGATCAACAGAAAATCCTCGATTTACACCATAAACAAACGTGCTAGAGTGTGTCCACACACACTTGAAGCAACACAAAAAAAGTGTGCTCCCTCTGCAACGTTGTCTCACATGTCGAGTTACAAAGATGAATAGTTACAGGTGAGTTTGAAAGGGTCCTTGACAAATGACTCTGTCTGTTTGTTTTTGTTTGCGATTCGGTCTGGGAGTTGTTTCCTTAAGGAAGAGGATTTGTCAAACTAACAGTTTCGCATCTCACAGCCTGGCTATATACATTGTACGTTCTTCAAAAGGGTAGGGATGTACATGCGACTTCATTATCTAAGGTAGTCTGGGTTGCAAGACATCCGTTGTGGTGCGATGTTCCAGCGCGCACGGATTACTGGACTGTGCAGCGATTCACTAAAGTGGGCGTCCTTAACCAGTTTGCGCCGGGATTATTTTGACACTGACCGGACCCAGGCGCGGGATTGTTTTTCACGAACCGCAATGCCAGACGGGTTCAGGCTGTCATCTGCGGGTAGTACACCCTGATATTTCCGGCCTCGCTCGCTCGCGTGTTTATCCGTCATCCATTCCGAATACCGCAAAACCTTTGCGTGTATACACGTCATGAACTGGTTAACACACACGCCATGCCGACAAGCCGTAAAGGGCGTCTTGGCAATTTCATATTTCTGCTTATGTTCATTACATTACACTCACAGCTATAAGTAGTTTGACAACTTCTGATTTTCCAGCTAACGCTGCCTCGTGTAGTGCTGTACCATTGGGCGTCTCTCTGTTTATGTCAATACCATATTCCAGCAGAACTCTGACGGATTAAAAAAGAAAGACAAGCTGGTTGGTAAAGAAGATTGCATAAAATTAATCTGATCAATCTAGGAAAAAAATGCATGAAGTTGAAATTTAACATTCGGTTACTGAAGCAATATGTATCTGACACAGAGAAAACAATATTTACAGCGAAATCTGAAGAATTCAGAAAACTTCAGGGAATGAGAAAACAAGTCATAAGGTCATTAGGAAGACTACAATTTTATACAAAATTTCTCCATTCTTTCCAAAGTATAAAATCATGGAACCAGACTACAAGAAACATGTTTTCTATTTTTTTTTTTTTTGGTTTTTCTAGCATCTGTACTGAACACAAAACAGTTTTAAGAATTTTATTAAAATTAGAAGTCCAGTTTTGGTCTATTTCTCAGTCTACTTTTCAGGGGTTCGTAGACTACTAAAAACCTCTTTTTGACCACAAATTTCACGAGGAGGCTTTGCATATTGTATAAAAAAATAAACAACACACCACCCCTTACCTAATACCAAACCCTAGAAAAAATAAACATGGACGGCTGGACACTCATAATTTTAACCCAGTAACCGAGAAAAAACAAACAAACATGTACGGTAGATGACAAGCAGTTTTCATACTTTGTATACAAAGTTGCGTAAACAAAATGAAGGCACTGAATATTTTTGGAGGATTAATAATAAGAAATGTCACACAGGGTAAAGTTTGGCCCAGCTGTTTTCAACGTCTTACATTTCAGCCATTAACCTGTTTTTGCAAGCCAAAATTTGTCTATGCAAAACTTGTTTTAAATACTATTTGTTTTGTTGTCATGTGGCTCCCACTTTATTATTTTTGGCCCCAACGAACTTGTTAAATTAAAGGCATATAGGATCATTTGCACTTATCCCAAAATGAACTTGTTAAATTAAAGGCATATATGATCACTTGCACTTATCCCAAAAGTAACCTACAAAATTATTGTCAAAAAGCTTGGATTAAAGATTGTACTGGTACTAAACACCCTGTGAAATTATTCCATCTGGCTTGCTGTCAATTTGGAGAAATCAAGAAATGTAGGTGATTTCCAACGATCAGCCAATTGACTGACTTTTTTTGGCAATAAAGAGTGCTATTGATGTAATCGTGTTGCATGCTCAACAGGTTGTGCGTGGTTTTTCACTGTTTTCTCGAAGAGTTATCCACTGAGCTGAAACTACAACAAGTTGGGTTTTGAACATTTCTTCTTTGGATTTTGAGCGGTGAATTGAGACGAACAAAATGCATCCAAAGCAAATGATCCCATATGCCTTTGAAAAAAAATCCTCATCAGCTTGTCAATGTTAATTCAAATTCCTTCCCTTGTTTTTTTGCACGAACTTCACCCTTTAGCGCACTTTGGGAAACAATACCAAAGGGAAGTAGTTTGAGTAATTGTTCTACCCAGTTTAAGCCAATCCAGTGTCAAAAGTGTTTAGGTAACCCGGGAGATTATTGTACTGCAGTGCACCAGGGTACAGAAACTGATATTAAAGAGAGGAAGTTGTTGAAACAGGTTCTCAGTTCCGCACTTTGTTTCACCACGGGATCAGTAACCCGAGAAATTTATTGAAGAGTTCCATTCCGACAGGATTTCTGGACATACTGTACATTTTAGGTACACAGACACACAGTGGGTAGGTACTTCTCACAGCTGAGCCAGTTCATATTCATGATAGTTGAAATGAAATAAAAGGAAAAGAAACATGAGTCCAAGTTTTAAATTTCTGGTCTCGAGAAAGTTCCTGCTGGGATTGAGGGATGTAGTCGAGTCCATCACAAGTCCCTGCAAGTCCATCACAAGTCCTCCAGTCCCAATTCATATCACAAACTATTCAAAATGAGATTTGACAAGGGCATACATGTACTTGTTACATGTATATACATGTATGATGTGGGTTTTTCAACTGGGATTACCTACATATTATCATGTTGCCTTGTAAATTAGAAGAAAATACATACATGTTTAGTACATGTACAGGGTGAGTCAAAAAAAGCAAAACCCAAATGTCGGGACTATTGTTTTATTAAAGTTCTGCATGTAGCTCTTTCAAAATCTAGGGTATGAAAGCCCATTTCATAAGCTTTCTTTTAGTACAAGAATCATTTAAATCACTCCTGTACTTTTCAAGTTACTGAATGTTAAACACAACCACCGTTTTAAAGTTCTGTCCATGGATCACAAAAACGGTGTGCGTTCTTTCAGCAAAAACGAAAACAATTCACACACATCCGTATGTGAATTGTTTTCGTTTTGCTGAAAGAACACTTATAAAAGCCCAATTCTTAAGCTTTCTTTCCCCAAAGTCTATCAATTGCTCTGTTCGTCTCAAGTGGGGTCAGGGAACCAGATTACAAGATTATTATTTGTTTTCTTGGTTCTTCCAGCATCTCCAAACCCAAAACTTGAAACAAGTCAGTTTAACAATATGTGCTATAACATACTAATCCTCCAAATCCATTTATTTCTGAAACTTGCAGCAAAAGCAAATGTTGTACATTCCCTTTAACATGACTTGTATGACTCCTTTCAAGTTCTTTTTTTTTTTCAAATCTGAAAAGTTAAAATTCTTTTGAAACATTTCCTTATTCTAGTGACAGTCATTCAAGCCTGTATAGGAAACCCAATCCATGTCAACTATGATATGTTGAAAAGTACAATCCCGGATTTTTCGATCGAATCTCCTCACCGTAACTTGATGACTTCAAATCCCGTTGTGTGGCTTGTCTCCACATCATTTTATCTGACATTACCACTCCCTTGTTAGCAGAAGATTAGCCATGAGTTCCTGAAACGCTAAACCCCGGACCCTGATCTCATTTCATACTTGTATTCCATTAAAATAGAATTGAAATTTGTAACGAGTGCGTTGTGCATGGATCGATTTCTGATTATCACAGACGTTGGTGTGCTTTGAAAAGTTCAAGTCCCCTAGCTGACACCGCGCTATGGGGAAGTTTTCTGATTGTTAGGGGGAAAAAGTTAAGGGGACTTTTGAATCTGCTGTCCCCATAGCGTCTTCGGTCTCTATAATAACTATTGCTCAACAGGCGTGTGGTCCCCAACCTTGTAAGTTCATAACTGGCATGCACCCATCACATTTATCCTAAGTGGCATGGAAAGTTTTTTAACCTTTCAGCCGTGATAATGGTTCTTCTTTACCATATGGTATGGTGTATACCGGGTGTGTTCCGTTTCCTGGAATATGTACATTGTAGGTCAAACAGGGAAGACAACAATTATACTAGCCACACAAATCTATACAAAACACATACACGATCTGTTGAATTGATTCAAAGCTGTTTTGTACAAGTACCTGTATGTGTGGGCCTACACTATAGCAAACTTGATGGTTACTGAGAACTGTTGGAATTATTATGAGGAAACCTTCTCCTCTGAGAAATGACATTAGGGAAACCATAATGTTCTGGCTTTTCTTGTTAATTCAGAGAATTAAATTCAGTCATGAAATATGCAGAAACAACATTTGTAGAAGGAAATGAAGTTGATGTAACAAACTGTAGCCGTCTGTAACTCTTCAAGGCATTTTAAACTAAAACATATTACACTGTAATTGGAATAAAAAACGTTCACACAATCATCCTTCAAAAAATGACCATTTTTGTGTTACATGTATTCTTGCAAGGATGAATTTGCAAGGAGCAGTCACCCTACCAGATTTTGAACTTTCACACACAGCTACATTTTTGCTGTAAACAAATAAAAAGACAAAATTTATTGCAAATGTATTGGGAAAATGAAGTGGGCCGGGAGGATGACGCGAAACTTATTTATTGTTTTACTTGCCCTTAAATGTTATTTTGTAAAATATACTTCAGTCATGTGTCAATACGCATTTAGGATTTTCAGCATTGCGGAAATTTTCCCCCAACACCTCGGGATCCCTGGCCAAAAAATTTGAGATGTCTACGCGATCTCCATCCTTCAAGGCCCTTCAACACCTGGCTTTTAAGAATGACTTTGATTCCCTGAGCTTCTAAGTCAATTACAAGAAGATGTATCAAACTGACATCTTGCTCATATTTGTTTTTGTCTTTTGCATTATGAGACAATTTTGATGCATTGCCCCTATGGGAGGTGGATATTATTACTGTGGACCAGTTCACGGAAACTAGGCTACTTGCATGCGTTTACACAGAAGGCGTACCTTACAGTAGAGTTTATGAGAATATATAGGATCATTTGCTTTTCATGTATTTTGTTCAGTTCCAATAATAACAGCGCTTAAATTTCAAAGAAGAATGATAGGCCTATAAACCTAATCTACTGAAGTTTCAGCTCAGTGGATATTACAGTACACTTTATGAGAAAACAGCGAGAAACCATGCACAACCTTTTGATCAAAAACCACGATTTGGTGCAAAGCACTCTTTATTTCCAAAGATCAGTCAATTGACTGATCGCTGGAGATCACCTACATTTCTTGACTTATTCTAAATTGCAATAACCCCAGTAGACAGAATCATTTCACCAGTACGATCTTTAATCCGAGTAATGCTTTATGTGATAAATGTAAATGACCCGACAATATGCCTTTAAAGTGCACACAAAGTTTGCATCAACAAAACATCAACACGTCACTTTTCATCATTCATTACAAATGGCTTGGGGGAGATTTTCCGAGACGCAACTTCAGATTCTTTTTTTATAAATCACACAAGTTTCTACACGTGTATATCAAATATGTCTGTCAACACTGACTCTTATTTGAAAAAATCTAATTTAGCGCTCCAACAATTTTGCGGAGTTCTTTTTACAACTGTTATTAGATGGAAAAGAAATCGTACTGTGTAGATTATCATAACACAGTGGGTAAATTTAGTGACAACATTATGCAGTACATACATAAAATACAGAGTGTGGCAAAAAAGAGCAACATTTAGAAAACAAATAATTAAAACTGTTTAATGGTTTTTTTTCTTATAAACAGTAAGTTTTTTAATTATATATTACATTAAAGCCT